CCATCCTAGAGCACATCAGTTACATTTGTGGGATTCCCCAATTTTTTACACAATGTGGTAAAACACTTAATTCAGATTAATACTGCTTCTATTCCCACAGCATTGTTTTCAGCTGAGACTTGTAGAATGCAGGGTTATTTTTCTGGAAGAAGAATATGCTGCAAAAAGTTTTACTTCACTGCTTTCTCAGTAAGTCAAATGTCCCTGCTCCCTGTAGATCCATGGACGCTGGGTCTTGGCAGGTGGCGTTTCTGTGGCGAAGGTGCGACAGAACAAAGTGTACGAACAGAGGCAGCTGTCTGGTTTACCAGGTGTGACGATCAGCAGCATCTGTGTCAGGTTCAGCGGAAGGAGATAATACAAAGTCTGGGTGACCTGTTGGTCCAATAGAAACACAAAACCAGTTTGATCACAGCCAGAGGATTTGCAGAGGAAGCTGGGACTACAGCCCTGCTTCCTGTAACTCCTAGGTTTTGTAAGGAGGTTTTTGGTTTGGTTTTTATTGTGTGAGGTGCCACATCTGGAGAAGGAAGCCTGCTGAGTGAGGACAACAGGGTTGCAAAGGTGGAAAACTGGGTGGAGGACTGGAACAAGACGAGGAGAAGTTCTGGCAGATTTGGAAAGACTTGAGGTTGGGTGTACTCTGTCTGACCTGGGACATCTTGGTGAGAAGGGTCTTTCTGACGGGAAGTCCAGGTGAGCACCAGGCAGGCTGGGGCAGCGTAAGCGCCCTGTGGCTGGGCTGGCCGTTACCACTGCTCGCATGCCTTTGCGGACGTGGAAGGCTTGAGCCTCCTCTCGCTGAGGCCAGACGGTGTTGCCTGTGTCTGCCGCTCTTTGGCTGGGGAGACACTGCCATTTTCCTCACAGAATGACAAAGCCACGCTTATTGCCACTGTACAGGGCTGTGACCCGTCTGCAGTTTTACCTGTTCCGTTCTGCTAGGTTACTTGCTTTCGTCACAGTTGAATACACTATGATTTCCCTGTTATGCTGCATCTGAATTTTTGTAATATTAGGGGGCTGTTTTAGGGGTTTTCTTCATACAGGAAACACCAACGTCTACTTTTTGTTTTTTGCTAGATTTTCACTGAAAACGTTAAGGATATGAAAACAGGAACTGAATGTAAGTGCCGTTTGCCAGTGGGCCGTTAATAATTTTCTGTAGCAGTAATATTTTAGACGTCCACGAGAGGTCAGAGCTTCACCGCGAACACAGCATCGCGTTTGGCAGAGGCGCCTTCGTTGTCAGTGAAAAAAACCAAGGGGTTTTCGGGCGAGCCTTTCCATGCCGTGGAAAGCGCGGGCAAGCGGCGCTGGCATCATACCACTGCTGTCAAATTTAACGGCAAAATCCACTTCTTCATGTGTGAGAACTGTTGCCTTTTGACTTTCCCACCCCGATCTACGGGGTGGCTTCCAGCGCTCAACAGCCGATGCGCCAGAGGCCTGGTGCCCACCAGTTTTCCACCAAACACATAGATCATACCGAGCTGCATCTACAGAAGCGAATGTCGCTGTTCACCATGTGGCACGTAAGCATACTGAGGACACTTCGGTACCACCTGAATCTGCTCAGGTGTCCTGTGGCACCGGAGGGTGTAACATCCACTTTCAGATGGAAAAATTCAGCGCCCTTACTCTGGTGTTCAAGGCCAGAAATGCTGAAAAACAGAAAGGATGTCTAATTTGTTTGTTTGTTTTTTTTATTTTTTCTTTCATGGATGTATTAAAAACACGGGAGGAAAAGACCACAAAAACAAGCAGTGGAGCCCGACCTCCGCTTACGTTCGGTTTGCTTACCAGACATCAAAGGTGTGATCTCTGTGGAGCTGACACCTTCACAATGAGGACAGGACCTGGGGCAGGCACAGCTCTCCTTCCTGCACCTCCTCTGCTGCATCGGAGGCCTGGTGGTGACTCCGTGGTTCCAAATAAGCTGGATCGGGTGTCTGGTAACGCTTAGTGGCATTCAGCACCATCTGTGCTAGGGGACCCAGGAATAATGGGGCAAATTGTGAATTGCGGAGGGAAGAAGCTCTGACTCCAGGGTGCTGTGTCATTAAGTCGAAACGGGAAGCTTGCATGTGAGAGGATTAACGTGTTAATATGGTTCCATACACCCGTTTAGTGTTTAGGTACTTACATATACTATACCACTACATATGTGCTGTTATCCACTGCGAGTTACTTTTGCCTACTAATTTCAATCCATTTGAAATAACTTTCATTAACACTGTAATGGGACCCTTGTCGAAGTCATAGCTAATATCAGCATCTTTCAAAGCTCTGAGTCAGTCCTTGATTTTCCACCTATTTCATCATGCACTGAAACTGCAGTACATCAGAAACAGGCCCTTCAATACTTCTAAGAGATGTACCATTTAGTGTATGTAGCCCAGTTTCATGTGAAAACCTAAAGCTGCCATTTAACACTCAAGTTATTCTTCTGCATTCCTCCCCATTTATATATTTAGAGGAAAAAAAAGAGGCAGACATATGAAGGAGTTTTACCTTTTGAGAACAAATGGTACATGATAGGCACAATATGCTCATTCCAACACATGGACACACAATTGTCATTTCATGAACACAGTCTGGGATATAATTTCCTGAAAACTTCTCCCATTTTTTTTGAAGAAGACAAACTAAGAATTTATGCCCTGCTCAGGCAACTGCAGTGTGCCAGGTCACTGGTGTGAGTTCACAAGTCAAGAATGCCTTTACACGTTAGTGTGGTGTAAAAGGATCATTAGGCTTGAGAACTGGCAGTTGTGACAGAGCCATCTCCCCAGTCCTGAGAGCTCTGTAGGTATCACCAGATAAATGTTCTCAGAGAGATCAGATGTATCTGGCAGACCCTGCTGTCATCATCATCAATTTAAAATAGAAGTTTACTGAGAGATTACTGCAGGGTCCAATGCTGTCACCTGTAACAATGCCTGAGACACTGACTAGAAACAACTGGAAGCAGAAACACAGCAAGACATGCAAGTGGTTCCTTTTGAGGAGCACTTTGGGAATTACAGTGCTCAGGGAGCCTGAAACTACCGAGCAGATGACGTGTACCATAGACAGAGTCACAGACGAGCTGTGCTCGATCAAGGACTCCCAGCCAAGTCCTGGAGAGGACATCCCCACTCTGGGTTGAAACACATTTGAGAGGGGACGATGTGACCAGAGGCGAGGTAGCAGTGAGGGTGCTAACTGGCACTGTACTAACTGGCAGCCTGAGATGTCGGAGATTGAAAGGACTTGGAAAGTGATTTGTCCTTTAATACTTACACCATACTCATTCACAGTGGGAAAAATTTCTTTTACTGTTGCTTGGTTTGCTGACAAACAAGATTTTACTTCAGCAATCACACACAGTTCACACTGAATTAATTTTAAAGGATACACTCAAGCTTGTGTTACAATCCAAATTAGATCTACTTTTAATAAAGCTCGACTGAAAAGAACCTCCCCATTTGCTGGGAAGAAAAAAACATTTTAAACGATGGGATCATAGGACAATACGGCCCAGAAGGGATGTCAGGAGGTCTCCCGCTTGCAGCAGGGTCACCAGGTAGCTCAGACCAGGTCTCTCAGGGCTTCGCCCCATTGGGGCCTGCGGCCCCGCGGGGATGCAGCCTGCGCAGCCCCCCTGGGTAGCCGGCCCCGCTGCCTGACTGTCCTCCG